AGCTGTAGTGATGATAAACTCCTTTAACAGAAATGAAACAGAGAAAATGCTACCTTGAAAACATTTGTCAAATGGTGAAAAATATGATAGATTTAAGAAGACAAAAGAAAAAACTAGATCATAGAAGTGATAAATCATGTTCCCGTAACTGGATGTTAGCCACTTTGGCAACTTGGAAACTAACCCTGACTCAGAATGTTCCGTGCATCCCTTCTCTCGTCTCTCTCTTCCATTCCCCTCTCAAACTTACCTAACAAAATCCACCTTCTTACTCCATTCATCAAACTGTCAAGGAAAGCTCGCCAATGAAAGACTTTCTCTAAGTTTCTGGAAACCTTGTTTGTCTAGGGTTTTCTTAAACTCTGCAGCCACAAATAATGTGCCTATTTGATTGTCTTCATTGATTTAATATTTATCTCTTCAATTCATCTGAAAAACACGGAGTCTTTCATTTTGAGTCCCACAAGTATCATGAGCATTGATGTCGCAGGAGAAAATACTTTTTTCAAACTGTTGGGCCGTTGCTGTGATATACTGGGTAAAGCCACCGCCTGCAGTGCCGGCATCCCATACAGGCGCCAGTTCGAGTCCGGGCTGCTCCACTTCTGATCTGGCTCTCTGTTGTACCATGGGAAAACAGTAGAAGATGGCCCAAGTCCTTGGTCCCTTGCACCCAGCTGGAGTCCCAGAAGAAGCTCCTGGCTTCGGATTGGCTCAGCTCCAGCTGTTGTGGCCATCTGGGGAATGAACCAATGGATGGAAGACCTCTCTCTCTCTCTCTCTCTTCCACTACCTCTCTGTAACTCTGCCTTTCAAATAAAATGAATAAATCTTAAAAAAATTACTGCTTTCAACAACTTGGAAAAAAAGTATTAAAAAACAAAGAAAACAAACAAACAAACAGTTACAAATTCAGCCCAGAGGAGGGACCAGATTTTGGCTGAAATCTCTGTTCATGGATGGGGAGCCAGCAGCTACCGGTTCTGGACCCCGGATTCCCCTTGCATGTGACCAGTTCTTTCTCAACTCAGGCTTTCCCAGGTTGCTCACAGTAAACGCAGTCATAGGAATCGGACTGTGACAAGTTTAACTTAATTTCTGAAACTTGGCTTTCAACCTGCCACCCGCAGTTTCCATGGATGATGGTAGTAGTTTTAAATAGCTGTCGTTTGGGAATAGAACAAACACTACATCAGCTATTTAGTGTTTCCAATTAATACGATGTCTTCTGAACTTGTAAAGAATTTTTTCAGCCACACAATTTTCCACACAATTTGGGGGAAAAAAAGAAGAAGGTTCAAATTCCCTGGTACAGAAAAGCTCTCATTAAAGATGAACCCCCAGCATGAGACTCAGAGCAGGAGCGAGTGTTGGCCATAATTCTGTGGATCGTGCCCTTTCTCCAGCCCTTGAAGGAAGAGCATAACAGGATGCAACAGATGGTGGGCAGAAATTAATACATGTTGTTTTATGTGACTCAATCGAAAAACACCTTGGGAAGAGTACTGAAATTTGTTTATTTTTTAGCATTGGTTTCCTTCTTGGTGTCATTACTTAGGAGAGCTGATTAACCAGCTCATTTTGAAATTCATGACTCAGTCATTTCCTTTAAGGCGCTCCTCGACTTTGGCAGATGTGCACAACTTGGGGGCAGTTCCTCTGCTTATGATGAACTGGGGTGGAGGGTGAGGGCGGGAAGTTCACCTCGACAAAGCACCCCCGAATATCAGGAATATTTTATCCACTAATTTTGCTTTATATTCTTTCATATACAAATAGGAGGAGAGTTAAGTGTTTTTACCTAATACAGACAAATTATATATATATATTTTTATATATATATAATATATATTTGACATATTTTATATATATATATTTTTATATATATTATATATATATATATAATTTGGGAGAGTATGTAGCACCATCTTACAAACTGGAAAAACAATTTCTGTTCTTAAACACTTCTGCTATCCCAGTTTGTTTCATAATAACACAACAGAGAGAGTAAGCGTTTAAACATGTGCACATCGATTTCATTTAAAAAAATAAACACAGTGGTTTCATCCAACACATGGCGATACGATCAAAATATCTTCCATGGAGAAAGATTAACATGTCTCTTCGACATGGCTGTATAGGTCTTCCTTGCAAAGCAAGAGCTAACTAACTTGTGTGAGGCTGGAAGTGTGGCTTCTCTGGAAAACCAAGTACACCACCTGAAAAGTTAGCACCCCTGACAACCATACCCATCGTCTCCACGGGCAGCGGGTGAGCTAAGTCGCAGATGTATCTGGCAGAAATGTGTACAGCGGCATGATCCGTTCCAGCACCTGCTCCAGCTTGACTCTGTGGCAGGAGTCAATCACAGTTGGAAACCTGAAATGTTAGAAGACAGTGGGAGCTCAGTGGCAGGGAGAGTTAATTATAGGGCCTGATGCGGAGTGTGGAGGAGAAAAGCATGGGAAGGAGGCTGTTTTAGAGCAGAAACAGGGGATTTCACTTGTTCCTCAACTAAGACACGGCGTGACAAGGCAAGGCATGGCTCTGCCTTCCAAGAAGTAGTAGATGACACACTGCAGTCGCTGCTATGGTGGCAAAGGCTGGAGCCGGGATCGTTCCAGGCCTCGGGCCGCTGGTTCTGAGTAAGCCGTAATTCTTGGAGTAGATAAAATCCACCTTTCACACCTGCAGGCAGAGTGGATGAGGTTCTGATAAACATCCATACGGTCCACCCTTACCTGGCTTCTGCTTCAGATGACAAAAAAGACTTACATTGGATCACCGCCCCAGTGTTCATGAGAGTTGAAAAAGAGAAACCAATCTGAACCTTAACTGAAGTCCAACCAGAGACCAGAAGAGTCCAAATACTCGTGGTTTTCTGGCCTGCAGCTTCACTTATCTCTCTCTCTAAGTCACAGTTCAAATATCTATGCATGACTGAACTTTGTTATTATTTAAGAATTTAATCAGCCTACAAGTTATGTTGATCTTACGAGTTTCCTACTTTTAATTTTTTATCTTAAGAAAGTCTGCAGAAAAGCAAATATCAATGTGAATCTACAGAATTTTCAAACCTTTGATAGAAACACACACACACAAAAATCACTAAAATTTTGGAGGGTAGGAAAAATGTCAAATGTAAATACATGGATCAGAGTTTTAAAAATAATGTGTGTATGTAAATGTGGGGGAATCTGCACCACCAAATTCCAGGCATCAACAGTAATTTAAATTATTTGTTTTATGAAATGAAATAATTCTGGCCTGATTTTGTGGTTCAAAATCTGGATTGAATGTTCCCCCACCCCAGGGAGTCAGTTCTGAGCCTCTCTTGTCTAGAATTCACTGGCGGCCTTTTACTTTTCCTGGGACGTCTCAAATGGTTCAGGATTATACAGGTGAAATGGATATACTCCTAAATAAATTTATCCCACTTAGTTTTGACAAAAATAAACTCACCTATTTTTAGGTAACTAGCCTACGAAATACAGCGTAAGATATTTAAAATATGCTTCAAGTGAACACGGTGACACAATTCAGAGCAGTCAGACTAATCAGATGTGATACTTCAATAGGATAATTCACTGGCCCGGTCCCCTGAATAATCCCAGAGTGACAGGAATTGCTCTGTGGAGTGCGTTTCTATAGAGAGCAAGCCCTGGCAGACAGACAGGCCTCTTGTCATCAGGAGCCCTAATCCACTGCCCAGGGCATGAAAAGTGCTCAGGATAACAAGTGTGCGAATCACAAAAATCAACATGATTTTTGGATTTTATTTTCTTAACAATGCTGACTAATCAATAGGCTTGCGGAAACTGACAAATACAATAAGACCCCCTTGTTGACGAATCAATCTCCCTCCCCGTTCCCCAGGGTCCCCTTTAAATCCTCTGGAACCTCCTCCACCCTCCCATACCCCCCCTTCCCACTGACACACAAGGGGGCGGGGGCTGGAGACACCGCTCTTTATTGGCCTGGGGATTTTAAGTAAGAAACACTGTGATGACAGCGCTTGGATGGTTTTTCAAATAATTTTTTTAATTGTCAGACTCTCCTTGGGGGTTGCGGAGGTTGGGGTGGGGGCTGGGGGCGTGGTGGGGCGTGGTGGGAAGGGTAGGGCAGGAGGGTTGGAGAGTAAGGAAGGAAAGGAATGTTCTGTTAACTTTTGTACGGCTTAGGGCAGAAGGAAAAGGACAGAAAATGCAGCTGGCACCCACAACACGCCTAATTCCCAAAGACCTGTGGGTGTCTGTGTGAGACAGTGCCTGTGTCCCTTAGCAGAGTCAGGGGAAAACCTCTACCAGCTCACGGAGACGCAGAGACCTTTTTATCTCGGTCCCTGACACTCAGCAGGGACTTTTGTGAACTTTGTCATCTTTCCCTGCCCCTGGAGCCAAAGCTAGGGAAGTGGTTTTAATTAATGAGATGTGATGCATTAAAAATGTTAGCCAGAGCATTCCAGAAGCCCGAAAACCATAGATGTTGTTCAATTTTGAGTATCCTTTTGAGAATCCCCTGTTGTAATTTATAATTCTCAGCGGACCTATATGTGTCTTGAACTGATTGTTGAAATGGGCTTTACTAGGAATTTCTCCTGCTGAAATTGCAGTGGGGCAGGAGAGTGGGGGTGGGGGTGGGGGGAGCCCACTTAGTTTGTTGAGAAGAGGGTAAGAACTCTTACAAGGCTTTAAAGCCCTCCGTGGTGAAGTTATATTGACACACACACACACAGACACACACACACACCGTGCAAGTTCCCCAGGATTGTAATAACGAGCATGCATTGTAAATTATGTAGGTAGCCAAATTCCGATTTTTTTAAAAAAAAAATCACAATTGCACCCCAAAATGGCTATAAAACCACGCTTGCCTTGGGAAGTGAATTTATAGCTCCATGCCTTTCGCAGGCACGCCGGAGGGCTCAGCTCCCGGCTCTCATCTCGAGGAGATGTTTTTTGCATGTGTTGTGTGACAGGAGGAAGGGGAGTGGGCTGACTCGCCGTTCCCCCATTGTCAGCCGCTCCGGCAGTGCGGGGAAAACCTGCCTGTGGGCTCTGTGTCATCGCCCTCTGCGTGTGCACGGCGAAGTCCGCGCTGCTGCTCGCAGTCCTCCCTCTCCCCCTTCCTCGCTCGCTCTCTCCCTCTCTCTCTCTCTCTCTCTCTCTCTGCTTCCCTTTCATTCCGCTTCCCCGGAGCCGGCTGAAGCAGGGAGCAGGATTAGAGTGCGCCACTGGCTATCAGAGGAGCGGAGATAAAAGGACGGCTCCCTGAGCACCACTGCCTGCCGCAGCCCCGGGAATCTCTCCCTCTCTCTCTCTCTCTCTCTCTCTCTCTCTCTGCACACAACAGTTGTGCCTCATTATCCGGTGCCTGGCTTTTTTTTTTTTTGAGGGTTTGAAGTTTCTGAGCTCCACTGACGGCTGCAGAAGAGGAGGCGTGAGTGTTGCCATGAGGTCCTGATGGTCCGCCTTTATGAATGAAACTCACCTCAATCACCTGTTACCTCCAGTTTCCAGATTGTTGGAACTTCTCTGGCCGCACAATACAGGAAGGAGGACGGAAGGCAGCACAGGACCCGCGGCGGCTGCAGCATGGGCTGGTGCACCGGGCTGGTCTGTCTGCTCTGGGGAGCGTTACTCACGGCGAGAGCAAACTATCAAAATGGCAAGAACAACGTGCCGAGGCTGAAATTGTCCTACAAAGGTAAATCCTCGCTTTTCCATTGAATTGCCTGGCTTTGTGATGCTGCCCCCCTCCCCAACGCGCGCGCACACACACACACACACACACCTCATTCCTTGAACTCCCCGCAGCCCAGCCATTAAACCTTCAGTTTAACCTGGGAGACCTGTGTGATTATGCATATCTTTCTGAGATGGTTTCAGCACTTTTGTAACAAGCAAGTCTCCTCTTAGATATATGACAATTTAAAGGCAAACAAAGAACATTTAATCACATTTGCAGAGCGGAGAAGAGCTACACGCCCGGGACATACTGATCCGTGTATCTCATGAGCCTGTCTTCTGTTCTGTTGATTTTTCTGACTTTGCTGTAGTTATTTTTTTTTTTTTTTAGAAAATAGTAAAGCAAAGCTGGTCTCTTTGTAGACGTGCACGCCTCACCTAGAATAATTGCTATGATGAATTGTATTTTCTCCATTTTAGACACTAAATGGTTAATCAGCATCATGAATATTCAGTTTGTTCAAATCTGACAATCAGATGCTTAACATAAGCGTGGATCCTGGTTTGCCAAGAGAATATAAACTGGAGAGAACAGACTAGTTTTTCCACAGTGTGTTATGATTGTACGAAAGACTGTGTATGCTGGTGATTGGTGTCAGCTAGCCTTTGAAACATAATGTTATTTAATTCCATATGTACTTCAGTGAGAACTGCAGAGGTCTTACACCGGCTGCACAGCCACTTGGGTGAACTCTGAAAAAAGTATACATTTAAAAGAGAAAGAAACAAACCTGCTGGAGCACGTGGTATTTTATCTGGCTACAGTTTCCTGTATCTGCTTGCTCTTTAAGTGAGGAATTTTGAGCAAATTCGAGTTTGATGCTTGTGTAGGTAGATTTTATAGATAGACGTGTAAAGTTATGCTGATTCTAAAATGATGTGCATAACTTTTGGTGGCAGAAAACATTTGTAGAACTGAGGCATTATGTAAAATGGAGCCGAAGATTAAACTGTTTTAGCTCAAGTAGTTTTACTCCCTGAGGTGCTGATTTCTTAAGTTTCTCAGATTTCTAGAATGGAAGGGGGCAGTAAAAGCTTCAATTATGCTCCATTTTGAGGCTGTGGAGTAAGAGAAAACTACTCACTGCTTCTGTCGAGATGTCTGTCTCACGCCAGAAAACACTCCTGAATTCTCACACGTGGGGGAGCAGCTCTTTCTGAGTGTCCTGGTGTGAATGAGGATCTCACAGAGGAAAGAGGGATGTAATTTTCACACTTTGAGTTAGAAAATTAAACACCTTTTAAGTGGGTTTCTTTGGATTTAATATGCAGATAAAATACATTCACTTGGAAAAATATGTATTTTTGATATCATGTCTTCTTAGGTATCAAAGTATAAGATTTTAAACAGTAAGCTATTGCAATTATCCTTATAAGTTTTGAAAAATCACACTCCTCTGTTAAGTATTTAATTAGAACTTTATCATAGTTCTATTTAATAACTAACTTACACCATTGTGTGTAATGTTGTAGCCTCTGGGTTTCTGTCAGTTTTTGTTTTCTATTCTCACTCCTTAAGAAAGTGCCAGCAGATAGTTCTGAGGCTGATGGTCCACCACTTTATCCAAGTTTGGGTCCTGGTGGGTAAGCTTCGCACAACTTCAGTTCTCAAAGACGTGAATGCCTACATGGCATAGTTGTGGATGAACAAGTTAGACAAAGTGAAGTCCATCTCGGACATCTACATTTGGATATATTTGAGTGCTAAATAAGTTGTAAAATGAAATAGAAATTGAAAGTGACGCTTCTTTATCTTGCAAGACTTCTAGTGCTACGGAAATATATTCCTGCTCATTTTAAAGGCTACACTTGTCATTTCTGTATGTTAAAAATCATGTAAATATAGCATGCAATTAAAATATCCCTCTATTGCATACACATATGTTAAACTTACGAGGCAAGCTGTATATATGGACAAGGTGCCTGTGTGTTGACACTGTCATTATACACATTTTTGAAAGCAATGGCATCCCTTAGAGTTATTCTGCTTTAAATTAAAAAAACCACTCGACAGCTACATAACAGTTCTATTCATAAACCTAGAGCTTGGCAATTGGGTCGAATAAACTGAGAAATGGACAACAGCAAGAAGAATAAAAGGAATTGTCCAAATAATTTTTCTTCTGTCCTTTCATTGATCTGTCATTACCTTTTGGTCTCTACATGCACACTTGTTTTACCAAAGCAAGTGCCTGGTGGCCAATTGTCAGTACTTTGTTTCTAAAGTCTAATAGGGATTTTTTTTTAGCTACTTATTTTTCCTCCTTAATTAGATGTCAAACACAGTTAAAACATCCACTGCATTGCCCTTAAAAATATTCCAGCTCGATTCATGAAGAGTTAAGTCCCTGCCAACCTTCATTTCCCATGGTCACTTAACTCCCTCCTCACTCAGGTTGCCAAGATGAAGTTTCAGGAAATCACTGTGCTTACTCTCTGCTTGTCATCTTGCCTGGTAGGAGATGAAAGCGATTTGATAGGTTAAATGAGAAAGAAAAAGAAGTCGAAACAAGAAGACAGCCTTTGTAGTGGAGGCACACACATATCTAATAAGGTACCTCTTGACTTTCTAGGAACAGGGAATTGAATAGATGTGTGCAGCACCATCTGGAGAAGTGATAATATTAGACAAATGGGGTATGCTAGCTTTTCCTCTGAACCAATCTGATTTAGAGTCCTCGTGGGGGAAGAAAATGTGAGAACTCTGTAAATCTCAGCAGTCACATAGAGACTATTCTAAACATTCACTCAGACGCATCTGCCTTCCTTAGCCACAGCAATACCTCTGCATGCTCAAATGTTTCTTTTGACAATTAGCGCATAACTGTTTACTTCCCCTACAGAACTAGTCAGGTCTGATTTTTCTCATGATATCCCAGACAGTCATATAATCTTCCATTTGGGATATGTGGTACAATGGAGTCTTCAGAGAAACCTATGTGAATCACAAGAAAAACACAGGCTTTGGATTTTAAACAAATGACAAATGTTCCATCATTCAACATAATGGACTTTTCCAGGACACTGTGTTTTTTGGTTTTAGTGGAAAGCAAACATACACACAAGTCTCAATATGATGGTGAGCCTATGAATCCAGAGGTTAAATCAATGATCTTAACCTTCCCTGCTTAGGGAGGACTTAGTAAACAGCACTGAACTAGTATACATCATCAAGACTTTCTTTTCAGATTCCCTGAAGGTTGTTCCCCCCCACTAATGTCATGTTGTCTAATTATTCTAAGAGTAAGAATATCAGTTAAGTCGGCTCATTATACATGTATGTCTAACACCAGATAATTTCCTATAATTAAGGATTCTGAAGTAAACTTTGCAAAAGTTGTTTCTTTTCCTTTTATTAAGTAAATTATCCCTTCAAAAACTAATTAACATGGATAGAGATTTACTAATTAAACCTGTGGACTTCAGTAGCTTACTTTTTATCAAAGCAGCATTTACATATATATGTATATGCACACACACACATATATATAAGTGTATATATACATATAAATACATCTGAATATATATATATATGAATGACACAAACTCATGTTGATATTTTATGGATAAGAAAAGTAATATTGGCAATCATTATGCAGTGAACTACAATAAAATTCTTTGCAAATTAACTTGTTATTGGTTTATAATGACACTCATATTTTAAATTTTATACTTAAGCAGGCAGTGGTATGATTCTGTGAGTCTCATGGGAAGGATGTCTCAAGTATTCACATAGTATAGCATGAAAGTTGCCTTGTACTAGAAGTTTCCTCATAGGCAAAATGGAAGCTTTCCAGGAAAGGCAGTGGGAAGAGGACACATGCACACACACATGTTTACATAGTGCAGCAAAGTTCTGTATTATGTGCAAAGCCTGGCCTCAAATAGTCACCACCTATCTGGCACCAGATTCGTAACTTGCTGATTCCTAGCCTTCTCCTCTCCAATTCCATTAACTTTATAATCATATTTTGATTCTGAAAACAAACATAAAATAAAACATTCAGTCATACATCTTGTGATACAACACTGGTCAGATCAAATGAGGGTGAATGATGGTCTCCAATTTGTGGCTTCTGTACTTAAAGCAGCCAACCAGATTGGCTTTTGAAATAATCATTTGTACAGTGTAGGCTTTAGCAAGTAGGAGAAATTCCAAGACTGTAAAAACATTCCATGCAAGCCAATAACTCACCAACTTTTAATAATAATATTCAGTCATTATTAGAGTTAAGTAAATCTGAATGCTGAATAGATCATTTTTTCCAATTCCAACTTTTTATGTTGTTTTTCTTCCTTCATGTGAGTTCCAAGACCCTACTACCCTCAGTGATAGAAAAGACTTAGATTCTTAGCCAAATAAATAGATGTAGAGACCTGTGATATCCAGTTTCCCTTTACCTTGAATTAATGATTTATATGTTCCTATTAACAAAAATGTATGTTAAACTTTGGCTGTAGAGGAAGTTGTGCTACATTGTGAATTACATTTTACATCATATTTTCAGACATGTGCTGTAAGAAATGTGTATTTTAAGGTTATTGTGAACTTTAAGGTATCCACAGGGAATTGTGTGGTTTAACCTCTCATCTCCAATTTTCTCATTTAAACTTCCATGACACCTCTATGTATCAAAGCTCCAAAATTCAAAATTCAAGTCAGGAGCATCCCAAAGCAAATTCACACTTCAATTTTTCTAAAATCTTCCAAATTTGAATTGATCAATACCTGAAAACTTTCATTTACAAAGTCACAGAAGTATATGACAGTGAGTTATGCATTAATGGAATAAGACCCTGCTCTTGCCAAACCTCTGTGAGGATAAATTTATGATACAGTCATCCATTGCTGCCAAGGTGGGGATAAAGTCTCCAAAACGCATGGTGCTATTGAGCCAAGTGTAATGCATGAAATTAGAACTTATTTTTAAGGGGCTAGCAATCATAAATGCTAATTAG